TGCACTTTAAATACAAAGCTCTGTCATCATAATTATGCACATGTACAGTTTTTTAACCTTAAGATTATTTCCTATATTAGTACTTCTGTATTTCTCTATATTATGTATACATTTTTAGTTATTGTAACATTTTAGTGTATTGTAAGAGTGAGAAATGATTATTGCTCATTTTTTAATTGTTACATTTATTAAGATTTTGGTTATGGCAATATATTAGACTATATAAAAAATGCGAATACTTTTGTATGTTGAATTCAGACTTCCACTCTACGGAGGCAATGCTGAAGAAGCAGGGAATGACTTCTATGTTTCAAATAATTTATTACATTCCATAGGAGCATTTTAACAAAGCAACATTAAAGTAAGCCTTATGGTTAAGATCTATGGAATCAGATTTTTGCCAATATTATCAAGCAAAACTTTTTTGACATTAAGCAAAGACAAGGCTTCGAGAAGAAAAAACTAACTGAAGCAAAAGAAATGTCATCTCAAAAGTAAAATGTATAACTTGCAAACACGATTGGTCTTTTGATAATGTTTTCCTTTGTTTACGCTGCCACCTTTTTCGCTTGCGCTGCTTGACTTTGTGGTTACGCTGCCAACTTTTACGCTTGCGCTCCCTGACTTCTTGCTTACAATTCTGACACAAACTTGGATTATATATACAGTGGTACCTCGGTTCTCAAACTTAATCCGTTCCGGACACCGGATCGAATCCATAAGAAATAATGGAAAACCAATTAATTGGTTCCCGGCCCCCCAAAATTACACCTAAATATGCTTCTTTTTTTAGCATTTAAACACAAGATGAACAGGATAAAAAAGAAGAGCATAGTGAGTTCGAGAACCGAGGTACCACTGTATATCGGGATAATTATTGATACCGTTTGTGTCACGATCTGTGTCTACGATGTTGTTTATCGTGCTGTACCCTGCCCTGTTGTTTTGTGGAATAAAACCCCTATATCTGACTTCACGGCTTCGCGGCCTTCGTGCCCGCCGGGCGATCATAATAGTTTGGTATGGGAAAATGATCATAATAAAATATTTTGCCATATCGCCCAGCCCTACACACTGTTACGATCCCCGGTCTAGGGTTGGGGATCGCCAGAAAGGTAGAGGAGAGGGGAAGACGGGACAAGCAGGGAACGGGAACACAGGAAACAAAGGGAACTTTTTTTATATTTATTCACAGACACGGTTACAAACACGAGGTGCAACAAACTTCGGGAGTGACCGACGCCAAAATAACAACCAAAACAGCTAACGAACACGTCCCAAACTAAGCTAACTCTAAAGGTAATGAAAACAAGAGAAAACAAAATGACAAAGACCAAGTAACTCCCTAACCAAAACAACAGTAAACACCACGTTCGCAAAAACAAGGCAGTCACTCCTTACGCACCTAACAGACACACTGTACAGAAAACACACAGGCCGAAACACAGTATCCAAAAGGGTGAGGCAAAGAGAGTATTCAGGAGCTAAGCAAGAGTTCAAACCAGAAGACAAACAAACCGAAGGCAAAGGTACCAATAGGGCAAAGCAGAAAGTCAGAAACCGGGAAACCAAAATAGTCATGGACAGTAAGAATCAGCCAATAACAATCCAAACACAAATCCAAAAAATGAGCAGAGCTCCCGAGTTAACTCGCTGTCCGGCTTTTCTGCTCAGGAACCAGGAAGTGACGCGCGGCGCATTGGAGGAGCCGTGGGCGGGGTCTGGTCAGCAAGGCGGAGCCAAGATGCAGCCGGCGAATGACGACGAGAGAGGGAGGCCCGGAGCGGAGTCGAAGGAGTGGCGGAGGAATGGGCGAGGGGGCAGACTTCCGAAGAACCCGTAGGCTTCCCCTGGAAACTTACGGCACATAACAACACACACACAACTACTACTACTACTACTACTAATTAGAACTAGCAGTCCTTATACAGTACCTAATTAACGTTAGCAAATTAGCTAATGGTAATTATAATTAATTATACTACGGGACCGTTGAATGCTTGAATCTGATTGGCTGACGAACGTTCTGAGGGGTGCAATTATTTTCAGGGAAACGCACGGCGAACGTAGTTCCAGGCAGCTCTCTTGACCGTATTACAGTTCCATATCACTTCGCATAGTTAACTTTAATAA